GGCGCGGGGCGCGGGGCTCTGGGCCCGCGTGGTTATGGGGCCGAGGGCAGTAGCCGTGGTGAGGGGGTATCGCTGTGGGCTGTAGTTAACTTGCAGGAGGACGGGAGCTTCGTTCAGTACCGGCTGCCTTTCCGAAGGTGGCAGAAACTGTTGAGGGATGGGGTGGGGCGAGGGGTAACCCCGGTGTGTGAGGGACGTCTGGGTGGTTCTCTTCCCACTGCCAGCGTCGTCTTGGCGAAGCCAGAACAGCAGAGGCAAGCTCAGAACTCTTGGGCAGGGAGGGAATTACTGCTTGTCTGGAGTTTCAACCTGCCAGTAAGGGATTGTTTCCAAAGTAGCTGTTCTCAAGGGAGAACAAGGGTGTGCTTGCTAGACAAAGGCGTGGAAGTAAAAGCATGCATACTAAATAGCTAAGCTGCCTTAACATTGCCTTTGTTTTTACTTGACTTTGTATATTGTGTATGATAAAATCTCCCTCACTTGGATTTCTGCAATGACAGAATAGCCAGCTGCCCATCGTGGAGGCAAGTACTGAAAATATCAGGAAGATGTATACCCCAGGCTACAAAAATTAAACACTGAGCCATCTTGCGAAGCATACAGAACTGGCCTGTACTTCTAAACAGTAGAAAGTATTGAGTCATGACCTTAGCTGTGAAAGGTTCGGGAATCACTTTGATCCAAACTGTATCCCAGTCGTGTCTAAATGTCACTTCTTGCTTCCTTCTTTCAGCAGTATCTGTTGGCCTTTTTGACCTGTTTTCACTTAGGACACTTGAATGGACTTGTTTTCTCTGCTGTCAGAATGCTAAGTTGGTGAGGCAGCACCTCGACGGCATGACCAGAGCTTCATTGAGGAAACGAGCTGGCTCGCTGTGAGAGTCTTTGCAAAAAGAACAGGCTCAAATCTCCACAAAGACTGTCCTCGAAGGCTAAACTTTCTTCTCTGGACAAAGAAAAATAGTTTTATTTAATATCTCGCAGTTATTTTGGAGATAAATATATACTAAAAAGTTCCAAAGAGGTTTTTGGCATTCTCACTTCTTCTGATTAATCACCATGCTGCCATATCCTTGAACCTGTATTTCAAGCCCATACATTCCTACCACTGTCCACATTTAATAGTGAGACTCAGTGGCCAAAGTAAGTTAGGTTTCATCTCCTGTTCATTTCTGAGTATACAAGCTAGCATCCTCATAGACTGCTAACGCTGTCCTGTGTGAACGTCTGCTCTAACTGCTCCTAAGAGGAGGATTTTAGGTTTGCGTTTTATTGTCTATAGTTGGAACATTGTGGAGCCGTAAACTTCCAGATTTTTAATCATATGGACAATCTTTTTTCTTCTTTTGCTTGAGTCGGTTGGATTCTGATAGCAAGTTTGAAGCAGGGTGATGGGCGCCAATACCGAGTTTAACTTGCGTGCAGTGATTAATCAGTTTGTGCTAATTCCAGTAATTTTATTTGTTAAGTAGTGGTTCAGATGCTAGGTGATATCCAAACATAAATGTAAGGACTTAGCATTGACACTGATATTAAATCATTTAATATAACTTAATGTTGTTACTGGTTAATCTTGTTTGGAACCGAGGAAATCTTGCTGACATCTTCAGATGGGCTACTGCTTTCAGATTACTGGGTGCCATTTACAAATCATAGAGCCTGAACAACTGGGCATTGCTCATTCCTAATTAACTCACGTCAACCTTTTGCTGTTGTAGAAAGTGTGTAGTTATTTTCTCATTTAGAAATCACTGTTGGTTTTGGTTTTCAGATGTGTTCTAAAAGAACTGGAATCACTGGGAAAAGCACTGTACGGAGCAAAATTAATTGCCCAAAGATTTCAAGTTCGAAACTGTTCTCACCACAAGGATCCTGTGAGTGGTTCAACCTGTTTACTTTCCATGATTGAAGAAGGCAACCCTCATCACTTCTTTATCGCTACACAGGTAGATGCTCATGGGAAACGTAACTTCACTTCATCTGAAGTGATCCTTTCATACCTAAGGATGAGGAAACCTACAGAAACCTGGGTTATGAGATTTTTAAATAGCTTGTGGGAATTAATATCTCGTAAAGCCTTACTCACCATTACATGTATTTGCTAATTATGAAGTAGGGAATCTTTTGTCTTACTTGAACACCTAGGTATTTTTACCCTAGAAGGATATTGCTTAGTTTAGCAGAAAGGGTAGAAAACATACTGACTACCTACTGACAGGTAAGAAAACAACTGATGAATGTTAATTTGCATATTGCTTATGTGTGCATCCCCTGCCCTGAACCGTTTTGCACAGTAGTCTAAAAAGTGAAAATAAGCGTATAACTTCAGTTTTAAGAAATTTTGGAGGTTTTAGCTAAAGAATAAAGGTAGAATTTGTGTACAAATAAGAAAGGCAGTTTTTTTCTTAGGTCTGTTATTGGGACTGTATGTGTAAATTATATACACTATATATAAAATGGTTTACGGTAAAATTCTGTGTACTTATGTAAGATACAAGGAGTTTAAAATGATGTGTTAAAGAGAAATTATCTTCCTTCTTGTGAAGTGGTGTACTACATACCAATGAACTGGGACTTTTTCCTCAAAAAATGCATGTATGCTTATATATGCATGAAAAAAGGAAACATTAAGAAATTTTCCATCAGAAGTACAGCTAATCAGAAGGAGAGAAATTGAAATTTAAATTGCTCTGGAAGGCACTGCCAGGTATATCTGCTAGATTAAGTTTCTTATCTTTTTCATAACGTGATTTATCTTCATAGTTTTGTATTAAAAGTAGGTGCATTTGAATTGCAAATACCATTTAATCCCAAAATATTGACTGAAGTATTTAATTTTACAGGACCAGGATTTAGCAAACAAAGTGAAAAAGAAGGCTGGCGTTCCTCTCCTCTTTATTATTCAGAACACTATGGTGCTAGACAAACCTTCTCCGAAATCTTTGGCATTTGTTCAAAAATTGCAGACAAATGAGCTTGTTCCAGAGCACCAAAAACAAAGTATTGTGCAGCTTAAAGAAAAAGAAGGACTAGCGAAGCAAGAAGGTGAAAAGAGAAGGAAACGTAAAAGGGCAGGCGGCCCCAATCCTCTCAGCTGTCTGAAGAAGAAAAAGAAGAAAACACAGGAGGGTCAGGAGCCTTCTGCTGAAAAGAAGAAAAGAAGAAAAAGAAAGCGAAATAGGGTTAAAGCAGAAGCCGTGCAGTCAGTGCGGAAGAATGAAGAAGAGTAAACCCATCTATGTAAACAATGCAGGACTTGAACGTTGTTTGAACTCTATATATTAATCTTTCTTTTTGCAATCATGTGAAATCAAGTTGTTAACATTAAAACTTATTTTTCTGAGGTGGTACTGCTTATTACTGGATCCCAACGTTTGCAGGTTGTTGTCCTAATAATTTATTCTGTTGTTTAGTAATTGGCTTTGTGACAAAATACTTAGGAACTCTCATGTTTCGTTATTCTCTCCAGCATCTTGATTCCTGACAGAGAGTTCACGTGATCAGTGGCAATTTTTTAGAACGGCTTCTTGGGTTTCACATGGGTTTTGGTGGGATACTAGGCTTCTTTCTAAGTCTAGGTTGCTATTCATACTAAAACTAGTTTTGACGGTTGTTCTGTTACAGAATGTGGAGTTGACCTAAAAGAGCATAGCATCTTATTTATCTGTATTGTTTGAATACAAAGGTTAAGTCTTTTGCAAAGCGACCGGATGCCCTCGAGAAGTCTCCTCCAGCCTAAATTACTCCGTAAACTCCATGTGAACTGATAGGTCTGCTGTTCATGACCTTTAAGAAGATCCTGAAGGGTGTGTGATTGTGTTGATATTCCTGACGTTATAACGGCATCTCTAGTGTGTCTAGCTTACCTCTAGTTTATTCTTCCCTTCTAAATAGGAAGAATGCAACTTGAAAATGCTGAATCATAGCACTGAGTAACACCTAATGCCATCGCAGTGTAGCACAGCTGTGGGGGAGTCCTGAAGTACAGCCAGCTGACGGTGATGGGACTTGGACCCTGTTGCACGTTTCACTGGTCCGTAAGGTTATGAACAGAATAGAACTGCGTCGGGGGAGGGAGCTGCCAAAATTGTTTCAAGTACTTGATTTTCTGTAGTAGTTATTTCCTGTACCTTGCATGTTTGGTGGCGTTAGGAGGCAGAAGTGAGCGGCTGCGATGACGTATTGCAGGGGTATGCAGTAGCGTACGTGCTGTGGCATAGGTGTGCCGTAACAGTGTTTCCAGTCACCTCTTACCAGATTTTTAACTTTTCTCGGTGTATTTCTGCTTAACCGAGATGTAATTTTCTAAAAGGAAAGCTTTCTGTTTCTTCACCTACATGAGTTTAGGCCATGTTTTTTAAACAGTCCTTCAACCTATGTATCATATGTTTGCAAAGTCATTCTCATATGTGCATTATCTGCACAGGTTCTTGAATGTCTGGCGTACGTACGCAGCTATAATGTATGATGCTTTCTGTTGGCTTTTCAAATGGTAAGGACAGTTGTTTCATGGAGTTTGAGAAACCAGCTTGCGTGACGGGAGTTGGCCAGTCTGAGCGGAAACTGCAGGGTCGTTCCCTAGAATCTGCAGAGATTTCCTCCAGCCAGCGCGGGAGAGGTGCATCGGTGTGCTCTCTGCTTGCAGCACGGTACGCTGCTGCTGTAGCCCCAGGTCGAAGCCGTTCACCGCAACACAGCCGTTAGGGGTGGAGTGTGCCTTTATTGTTCCATATGAAGGACCACATGCGCCTCGGGAGCTGACCGCGAGAGATGGAAGCAGCAAGGAAGGGTGCTGTACTCGAGGTGAAAGCTTTCATTAAAAATTAAAACCAGCCATGTTCATCGTGGTATTGTTCCTACATTGATTGCTAATAGTACTGAGGAGAAATTTAATCACTCCTAGAAATTCCTTCATGCAGCATATTTGTTTAATGCATATCACCTTTCTCAAGCTGTCCTATTTCCTTCTCCTTCACTTATTTGGGCACAGTGCCACGTTAATGTAGTTTTGGTTCCCATTCCCCCTTAAATATGGCTTGTATTTCTTTCCCCTCCCCAAACCCACCTGCAGAATGCACTGCTGTAAGTCAAGCTTGGAGCAGACAGCCGAGATGGCTCATCTTCAAAATCTTGTTCTGAGTCAAAACTGTATTAAAATCCAGTAACTTTACTATAAATATTGTTTTTAAAAATTGAGCAGAAAACACGCCCTAATTATTTACAATAGTCCCTTTCAGTGCAGTTGAAGCACAAAGCTTAAATATACCTTTTCTGAAGACTACAGACAGACAAAAACATAATTACTGCAAAAAAGTATTTTAACAGTCCTCTAATGACTCCCACCTTAAGGAATTTAAAACAATATTTATCTGTGTTTCCTTAGTATTTTGCGAACACAAACTGAGTCATGGCGTTGCCATTGGGAAGAACTGGAATGAAAAGGGAGTGAGCTCTTAAGAGAAAAGCTGTGAAATCTGCAGCTCTCCTCCAGCGAGGTAAATAACTTGCCTTTCAGTTTTGGAAGAGAGCTCCTGCCCAGGCAACAAGCAGAGGCAATCAGACCATGTGTTGTTACCGTTTTGAAGCTGGAAAAAACCCCCACCCTAGTTTCCAAGTAAAACAAGTCCGCCAGGCCAAAGCTGACAGGCTGTATTTATATCAAGTCAGTAACGCTGAGAGCAGCCTGTGACGCTGAGCCCAGCTGGCATGGACTGGCTCTGTCCAGGCTGGGCTCTGGTAGTGCACACCGGCGTGGCTGCCTGCGAATGGCCCCGTGCGGGTGCTCTCTGGCTGTGGTGCCTCCGCCTGCCAGGTTTTGGTGGAGGTTTAGCTGGCCCAGGCTGGAAACGGTGCTGGGGTCCCTCTAATAATTCCGCAGCGTGAGTCACTGGGAGCATCCCTAGGCGTTGTGTAAAACACTGCCGTGGAAGTACCTGTAGAGCTAACTCTGCTGCTGTAGTTCAGCTCCACCTTCTGCCCAAAGCCACGGTGGCCAGTCCCACTCCCTTATTTATCAATAAACGGTCTGGAGATCTGGGCAGATCTCTAGTACAGACCAGGTCCCCAATGTGACTTTTCTAATAACGTTTAGGATCGTTTCGCTGTAGCTTGTCGGAGGGACTGGTTTTGGTTTTGAAACTACAGAAAGCCAGAGGTAAATTGAAAGGAGCTTGAGCGAAAGCTTCTTTGGGGCTATTGATTTCCTCTTTTCTCAGACAGGATAAATATATATCCCGAGTCCTATGCAGTACCTCACTAAATCTTTCTTTAAAAAAAGAGGGAAATAATAACCAGTGTTGTACAGTCCAATGTATGCTACATGTGCAGAATAATAGAGGAAGAAAACAATAATGCTTCAGCCACAGTCTGCAGGGTATTAATGCTGAATTTAGGACAGAGTCTCATCTACCAGCAGCAGAAGATATTTACCCGGACTGCCTGCCAATTCAATTGGCTGGATTTATACGTTGGTGTGATCCGGTATGGTAGAATAAATCACTCCCTGAGCATCTGTTAACGACACGAAATAGATGAGTTAATTAGAAGCTTCTGGAACCTAGGATGTTTATGAATCATTAAAGTAAATATGGATATGGTATGACTTGAAGAATAAATACATTCTGGTGGTGAAAGGAAAATAGGATGTCCAAAGCAGTCCTGCTCATTTGTTTTCAGCTACGCTGGTACAGTGTGAATGGCTTCTCCATCAGCTTTAGAGTGTTCCTGGAGTTTCTTGAACATGTTCTGTCAGATACAAGATGAAGAACGTCGGAACAATGCCATTATTTATACTCACTGGATCTTTCATATAGAAGTTTCACAAGCAGCTACTGTATATTTCATACCTCTGTGTGGGCGTAATATCTCACACAGGGAGCAGCCAGAGACACGGGGAATGAACAAATAAGAGCCCCAGCAGGTGTTATCATTTACAATTTCGTGGAGAAAGATTGCCGTGTACCGAGAAAGAATGACAGAAAGCAAAAGTTTTCGTACCGAGAGAGTCAGGAGTGAGAGAGAGACTGCACCTTGTGATTTAGGAATGGCCTAACTAATGCCAGGAGAGGAGGTTGTGATGTATTTCTGGTAATTATTATGTCTGTGCACTCTGAGCCCCAAATTTGTCTAGGAGAGCTCAGCTGTCTGCCCACGGAGGCAGCCATTTTGCAGAAGTTGCAATGGCTTGTTACAGAAGAGACAGGCTGGGCTCTCTTGGGGGGACTTTATTTTCTGATTTCTTCTCCTGTGGTTCAGAGGGAGAGCACGCAGCTGCGCTCTGTGAATGGATACAGGGAAACCACGAAGCTGTTAACAAGGGTCCAACCAAAACCAACCCAGAGCCGAGACCCGGGAGGAAGAAAAGAGACAGTAGATTAGTCACTGGGATTTAAAAGAAACCAAGGAAGAGAGGAAAATATATATGAGGGTTTCTGGGTGTTAACTGGAGGAAAGAATTGGTCAGTAGCAAAGGTGAACCAGAAATGGCTTAGCAGTCAAGGAGAGTAGGGAACAGAATAATAAACCATAAGCAAATTAAAAAAAAAATCTTTCTAATTCCCTTAAGAAAACTTCATTGCCCTTTCTGACTCAGTTTCTGCCTTTTCAAAACAGGGAGCTGGTCTGACTAACCCGCTCACAGATCCTGCGTTGATAGCCCGAGAGTTCTCGCAGAACGTAGGTCCCATGATGCCAAACACTCCTTGTCTTCATGGTTTTTCAGTATTATGCACTTTGCAGCACTGGCGGGTTTGCAGCCAAATCCTTCTTCTGCAGAGCTCGCCTGACATTGCACGTGGCTCACTGCCCAGCACATAGATATTACATCAGGAGCAACCTTGTTCATGCCATTGTTGATAGGGTAGTTAATTGCTCCTGAGGGTACTCACAGCAATAGCCTGGGATAGACTGAGGCTCTTCTGGCTGTGGAAATCATAACCCAAAGCATGGTATGGGGGTTTTTAAGTCTAATCTCCTTCCAGGAATTCAGTACGGGACTTCAGAGTTTCTTGTTGCAGTCTTGACTTCTAGTTGATCCAGAATGATCTTTTTGCCATGTTCTTTCCTCTGGGGCCAAAGATGCTACTGATTTGACTCTTCGGGGCGGTTACTCTTTCAGACTGTCTTGGAGAAACACTGAGGAAATTTTTCACTTTGTGAATTGGCACCCGTTTCGACAGGCAGGTTTTCAGAAAAAATGAAAAGAGCAGTTTTCTAGAATTCCTGGCTCTCTCTTTCCACCCCTGACCTCTCTGTCAGCTCCCAAGAATACAAGCAGGGCTGTTCCGGGATGGTCCAAAAATCTGTCTAGCCCAGCATCACGCCTCCAATAGTGGCCGAAAG